TATTTGTACGGTAACCCTACGTATATGCTACGATTTTAATACGGATTAATACGGCATTTTAACGGAAAGCCACGATCGAAATACGGATTAGCACGGTCTTATACGGTTTATTGCGTTGCAACAAGAAACGGTACGGAATGGTACGGTCCACCACTGTTTAGTACGGATAAATTAAGTATCATGTAATTTTTCAAGGGTATAAATACTACGTTCTTGTTAAAAACAGAAAACGCAGGCCTTTGAGTGATAATAAGATTAATTAACAAGGTTTTTACATATTCATTCACGATAATTAATGTAATTGTAAAATGAACAGAAAATTTTAAAATTAAAAGAGAAGCCGTATTGATCAACATTTTTCATTAATGATTACTAGTCCATATCAAGACGACGAGATGGTGGACTAGAGACTAATCTATACTAGAGATGGGCTTTTACGAAGACCCCTTCATGTTTAGTATCAGGATATCATGGCCAAACGGCGTACTTCAAGAAATTCACTTTAATCGGACCTGATATGTCTCGGGGTTCGGACGCGATGAGGCCGAATCCTCTCCGCCAAAATCATTGAACTCTGCAATTCGTTTTTCTATGTGTTCTTTTCTTGTATGTAGTAATCCGTGAACGATTAGACCGTAGCTCTTCCGTGGCATTATCCGTGAATATGTGACCGGGGAATAAGGATGAAGCCGGCAAAGCTATAACTTCCCGGATCATCCCGGACCACCCCGGTGATATTAAATATTTTATTCCATCCGGGGTCGAATGCCGGATGTTCCCGGATAATCCCGGACGTTGCCGGCAGAGTTACGGTTGTACTCCGGTTGATCCCGGTCGTTCCCGGATCACCCCGGACGTCTACCGGGGCTCTGCCGGGATGTAAGTGAGACTGTAGCTTAAGGCCTCAACAGACGGTAGGATTTAGTTGTACAACACTTATTAGAGATATGATGTACACTTTTCAAAGCAATACAACACTTGCATTCAGACCGTAATTCTGCATTGTAGGAATCATCAGGTTTCCCTAAAAAACAGTTCCCTCCCAATTGATCTCTTACATACTTTACTCACTGAAAATATTTTTTCTCCATGAGTAATGATTGAAACACCTCCGTTTTTTTTCAAAAATAAAAGTCTACAATTGTCACATGGCGAGATTTATGTGCCTGACCGAGACTCGAACCTGGGACCTTCGTAATAGCGTACTGCGGCTCTACTTACTGAGCTATCCGGCCGTTAACAAACTACTTCCCTTGATTAGTGTACAGTTCAATACCGTTACATAATCATTTTCCGAATAGTTTGGGATTCGAACATACTACAACTTTGGGTCTCACACCATCTTACTATTAGGTTACATTGTAATCTTAATTTGTCATGGAATTCCATTCATTAAACACTTTATCAGGGGATAATTCCGAAATATGTCATCTGTCATCGTGGGAGGTATATACAACAAGTATTAAGAGATAGAACATGTCCTTACCTGTAAATCTAATATTAAGTTGTATGAATTCAAGAGATAGTAGCCTTCACACAGTAACTTAGTTTTAATTGGTGGTGTACTGCAAAATTCTACCTTCTGTTGAGGCCTTTACGAACCCGAATGTAAACAACATTTCAAATGAGTTTGTTAGCATTCGTTACCCAAGATTTATTATAAGCATTTCGTACATCATTTACTTCATTATTGCTGCCATCGAGTTGTAGAGAAATAATCATGTAGAAGTTAATGGATCTGTACGTTACATTAACCACAATGTATGACCTATCCGTACACGAAACATGTGGCCTCCTTTTATATGGAAAGCCATGGCTGTCTGATATTGTTCTTTCTCAATTTATGTAACCATTTGGATAATATTTAAGTTCACTTCGACTATATTTGAATTGAATACACCTTCTTATTTAGCCGGAATCCATTATATTAATCCACAGTTACAATATATGAAACCATACCGTCAGTGTATGAAACCGAGTTAGCAATATATAAGTTGATTTTCTCTATATATGATTCCAATTCTTTAATATATGGTACCAAGGTAGCAATGTATGGAACCAGATGTCCTTATATGAAACCGAATTATCAATATATTAATTCATTTTTCAATATATGAAACCAATGTATCAATTTATGAAACCAAAGTAGAAATATATAAGTTGGTTATTACTTTATATGATACAAATTCTTCAATATATGGTACCAAAGTAGCCATATATGGAACTAGATGTCCTGATATGAAACCGAATTATCAATATATTTTTTCATTTTTACAATATATGAAACCAATTTATCAATGTATGGAACCAAAGTAGCAGTATATAAGTTGATGCTACATTCTATGAGTTGGTTATTACATTATATGATACTAACTCTTCAATATATGGTACCAAAATAGCCATATATGGAACCAGATGTCCTGATATAAAACCGTATTATCAATATATTAATTCATTTTTACAAAATTTAAAATCAATTTATCAATGTATGGAACCAAAGTAGTATATGAGTTGGTTATTACATTATATGATACGAGTTCTTCAATATATGGTACAAAGAAGCCATATATGGAACCAGATGCCCTTATATGAAACCGAAGTATCAATATATTATGTCATTTTTACAATACATGAAACCATTTTATAAATGTATGGAACCAAAGTAGCAGTATATAAGTTGATGTTACATTCTATGATAAGTTAAATAAGAAGGCGTTTTCAAGTCATATATAGTCGAAGTGAACTTATATATTATCAAAATGGTTAAATAAATTGAAAAAGAACAATATCAGACAGCCATGGCTTTCCATACTTTTATATTTATGCATTAAGTATAATACGGAAAGATGCTATCTGAGTATATTTATTTCGCGTTCTGTTAAAAACGTAAACAACGCCATCTGTTGGAAAAAGTCATGAAAACCTAGTTTTAATTTTGTTTATATCTTAATTTTGACAATTATGATAATTGCTTTGCAATTTCGGTGCGCTAGAGTGCATGTCTTTTGACATTGGGAGATTCTTTAATAATAGGTTTGTTAAATTTACGCTTTGCCGCAATTTTGAAAAAAAGTATTATACTATACAAATACAACCGCTTGAAAATTCGGTAATTAAAAAAAACTATATTATATATTAATCATGCCCGTTTAAATTGTTAAGTGACATTAATTGTACCTGATACATCTAGGCAACAATGTATCAGAAAGCATATTAACTTGTCACAACTAAACGCCGGTAGCTTTATGTTGCTTTTTGTATTTGAAACGCGTTTTTCTAGCACATCTGAAGCCTTTAAAATTACCTTAATGATTCCTAATAGATATGTGTTCTAACTTCAGATAACATTACCAGAGGTTAAATCTGTGTGGTCGTATGTCTATGAGATATTACAAGGCGAAAAATATAAAAAAAATTTACGTTTATTTTAGAATTCAGAAGAAAAAGGACTGATAACATCAGATTGTTGTGGTTTGTTTCATCTTTATAACGTCGATGCTTAGGGGCGTGGACGGTAACTTACACTTTCTAGTACCGTCCATGAACAGGCTAAATCAAACCAAGCCTGCAACATTTTCAATTTTCTCTTTTGGGCGTTCTTTAGGGATTCTGTTTTTCTTGATCATAATAAATCAGTTGTCATTAAAACGCCAATTACTTATTCCAATAGGGAACCAAACTTTTCAATTAGAACCACACTGTAGATTAACACATATTTAAATTCACCAACGGCAAATCTCTAATGTGCAAAGGTTAATTGAATTAGAATCTTATAATGTGGGTCTGCAGGTAGTACAATATCATTAATTAAAATTAATCTTTCTCAATTGCTTTTTCCCGTGTTTTCCTTATCTTTTATCAAGGTACATATCTCATGCATCAAAATTAATTCTAAAATAAAATCAGTTTTAAGGGGAATCTTTTTTGTCTTTTAAATTAGCAAAACCTGTTTTATTTGTAGTAACAGACACTTGTAGCTTAAATAATTTTTAATTACCATAAACCATACAGATTTTCTTTTTTATGTCAACATATTTTGAGTTTTATATTGACTTTTCATGTAAAGTTTACATCATTATTGTCATAGACTATTTGTATTTATTTTCATTAACATTTAAATCCAATGCTCCTAATAGGATAATTATGCGGTCACAAAAGGTGCATATTTCGTAAGTAGTAAACATATATGAGCCTCGTCACGACAAAACCAACATAATGGGTTTGCGACCAGTATGGATCCAGACCAGCCTGCGCATCCGCGCAGTCTGATCAGGATCCATGCTGTTCGCTTACAAACCCTATTACAAGTAGAGAAAATGATAGCGAACAGCATGGATCCTGATCAGACTGCGCGGATGCGCAGGCTGGTCTGGATCCATGCTGGTCGCAAACGCACTATGTTGGTTTTGTCGTGACGCGGCTCATATATTCAAGCGGAAATATTTCAACTGCTAGAATCCAATTGTATAGTAATGTAGTAAATATACCATAAAAACAAGACGTATTTTCGTCGTCAATAAGATGCCTTATTTAAAAGATGAATTTATTTATTTTTTCTTTTACAGTGAGAAAACTGTATTATCCACACATATTTTTGTACTTATGCAACACTTTGATTTTTAACAGTTGCAAATCACAACATTTTTAATGAAAATACGACCTGGAGATATTTATATTGGATATATGTAACCTGCTAGACCTTGAAAGTAGTAAGTTATAAATATCTTTTTTTCCGCTTTGTATAATGTTTTGACTGGTGCAAAAAATCAAAGCAATTGATTACAATTTATCTGAAATTTGTCACAATAATTTCGCGGAAATGCAGTCTGGTACTTTTTTTGTACACAAAAATTATCTGGATTCTTTGTAGTTTCTAATACAAATGCAATGCACAACAGTTTGGTTTTATAAACATAAACAAACTAAAACATACGCATAAAATGACTTTCCAATGTCTGAAAATTATGTATTCTACAGATTTAAAGAATGATTTATCTTACCTATTGAGCGAATTCTACAGATTGTTTCACTGTTGAGGAATGGAATCCAGTATCAAACATCTGAAAGTAGAATTGCAACTATTATATGTTTGTTAATTATATGTGATTATAGACATAATAATACCACTTTTATTTGACATTCCAAGATAAATGTTAACTATTCTGGATCTACCAATATATGTCTGAGAAAACAATGAAATAACGTGTGTAAAATGTTCCAGAGGAATGTTAAATGCGTAATATTACTTTTTCTTTCTTTATTACGATGTACTGGTCGTCAAAAACAGGACAAAATATTAATATATTAATATATATAGACTGGCATGAAAACATTGCTTAGTTATTTATATATTAATATTCATTAAATAACGCAAATGGTATGTGGTCTTGTGAACAAAAATTATACACAGGGAAAATATACATTTTATATATTTTTGAACCTGTCGATTCTAGATGCTATCTATTTAATAAGATACAGTATTATTATTATTATTTTTATTATTATATATCGGATTTGTCTTTGTAATTTTTAAAACAAAGTAGAATGTAAGTAGCCATTTTCTTAAGCTGATGTTAGCACATGCTATGAACAGATATTAAATAACCCCGTTTATTATCTTTTATAAATGATTAACTTATATACTATATACATGAAAATTTGTTTACATTTGTAGATTTGCCTGAATTTAAAAATGTAAATTAAAAGCTTAAACATTTATATCTCCGTGTCCTGGGATCAATGTATAGTTTAAAACAAACATCTACATATTTCCTGGTAATCAAAAATATTATCTTTGACATAAAAGAAACAAATGGCAAACAATAATGCTCAGTGGCACAAGAAAATAGTTACCACATACAGGTTTATTGCTAGACGGAATGCAGAGCTATCACTTTATAATACTTTTCCTATGTCTAGAGATCACTGATAAAAGTATCCATGGATCATAGACAGACACCAGTCTTTTACCTTAGAAAACAGGCAAACGAATGGTTTTATTTCATCTTCAACTTCAATGTCTTGATGAAAGCATAAGATCTAAATCTTTAAGGTTTCAGCTATTTAAAAAACTTAAGTTTAAATACAGTTAACTTGATGCAAGACCTGTGTCTAGCTTGACTTAGCAAACAGCATATATTGGCTTCACGTTTATAATAAATGTGTAATTGAATAAAAAAAAATGCAGCAAACTTTTGATTACCTTGATTTTAGATATATTTCAAGGAACTCGTAGGAGACAAAAATAACATTTAAATAATTGCTATGTTTTAGAATCATGATGTTTTTAAACACTCATTCATTACAAATTTTGTGTGAATGTGTGCGTGTGTGTTGTTTTTTCTTTAAGTATCAATGAATTCATTTACCTAAAGTATCAATATATTTACTTTACATTCATGGTATTTGAAACTCTTATGCTGTTTTTAATGGATACTTTTTTAAATACTTATTTGCCTATATATGATAAAAATACTGTTTTACTTCTGTTTCCCTTAATGAATCCAATTATCAAATGAAACGTTAATAACATATTAAAAAGAAACAAACATGAAGTATAAAAAACTGACACAAAATATTTTTTATCAGGTAATTATCAATAAAACTATGTTATATGTGAATTTTTGATCAAAAAGAATAATGGCATTAAAACATTGTCACAAAACCTTAGAAAATAAGCATAAAGATGATTATATCTAGCTAACACACTGTTTAAAAGATCTTCAATATTACGAGTGAATTTCTCAGATGTTATATATACCTCCGGCTTCTAAAAACAATTAACCCTTACATAAATTTGTTTCTTCTTTATGTTTTTATGTGTCAGCGGGCCTTAAAGCAATATAATATTCGAAATGACATTATCGGTCAGACAAAAATGTCATAAGAGCGGATAGCTTAAAGTAGGGAATATTTCAGAACAGTTTGCAGTACATTTTACTGGGCATTTTGTTATTTAAACAATATGAATGCCTTCTTTGTGGAACTTTCACTATTATGTTCTAGTAAAGTGATGTATGATATAAGAAATAGTACCAAATACTTCGAGCATCATAGCATTATTGTCACCTCACATTCAGCCCAAAACATTAAACGGACCTCATGTTTCGGCTACGGACTGACTGGTCAGTATAATTTTATGACGTAATAATATGATGTGATTTATTTCTTAAATGGTTCACGACTAGGAAACAATAGATGATTTAAACATGAATATAGTGTATTGCATGCTGTAATCATTTACAATCAATATCAAAAAATATAGTATATTTCATTATTATGATAAAATGTCAATATGTCTACAGTGATCAATTATCGGTTATGAAATATTCCGTTTGATCCAGTAACCCTCATATAATGGAAGTAATTTTACAAAAGGTCAAAATTCGTTTATTCTAATTTTACTTTGTCAAACTCGCACGTACATGTATTGATACATACAAAGTATATACAAAGTAGGCTTGACTTATTTATGTGTGTGATGTTGTTTTTACCAGCATTAGAGAAGAACTTGCGGTACTTCGTAAGTCAATACCTGCATGTTTAAAGATAAATATTCCTTTTATTTACAATAACGTGAAATTGCATATTTGACAATCAACGACATCGTCTCAAATTTGACAATTAAAAGTTTTTGCACTCCTTTTAGTAAAAATGATTTTATTGTTAAACGTTTATGGCACAACTTTTCTAGCGTTCTAAACTTTATGTAAACACTTCCTTGATTTACTAAAATATTTTTACACATACTTCATCACGTACATAGGAAATGTAATAGTCTTAACACATGGTAAACTTTATGTTAATTTAGAAATTAAGTTCTACACATTTAAAGTGATCCATGTATTATTACCCGATTTACAACAGAAATATAAGTTTTTTTTCTTCGTTAAAGTGATTTAAACGCGTGCATTTATCCGCCTGAGTTTTTCTCCAACTACCTAAAATAGTATGGACAAATAATATTTTCTGTTTTAATTGTTTGTTAGTAGATTGATTTTATTATTATTTTACTTGTCTGCCAGTTTCAGTTTATAATCTACTTTCATACACATGTTGAGGTAACTAGACAATCCAATTAACATTAATTGCCAATATATGAAGATAACATCTAGAACACTTTTCAATTTATTAATACTGTATGTTTTACACTGTTTACCTATACTTTTCATTGTTCGGATTTCTATTGTTTCTACCTGTATTTGATATAGCAAGACAAAACGTGAAATCGTGCCGAAAGAAAATGTCAATTACCATATGTACGTATTTTTTCATTTTCATTTCTCACATGTATTACTACACCCTATAACAGTTTTACAATGCACAATTATTCTGAAGCGTTTAAAATCTTTGTCTTATAAATAAACACTATACAGGAAACCTCTCTATCAAATCAAGAAGTCTTCTATACAAACGGATGAAACCTGTAAAGCTTTACACGAACAGAAACCTGTAAAGCTTTACACGAACATTAATTTTGTGAAACGCCGAAAATATTTACCAGGGCAAAAGTTAATTAAATCAACGTTTTATGATTGCAGTCTGCAGGTGGTATACCGAACAATCAAACGTTTTCATATATTTTTAAATACTTCCGGAATTTTCTTCATTTAAGTCAAAACACGTGTTTGTTATGTTGTACTTGTATATGAACTTATTCTGAATTATAGAGCGATAAAGCAATTGTTTTAATTCATATGTACGAGATGTTATTGATGTATTTTATTTTTAAAACACGTTTCTTTGACGTGAAAATAAATCAATGTTTAAAGGGTTAATTTAATTTTTATCACATACACATGTCCAAAAGTAGTTGTTATGCACATAGATAAAAACGCTTCCAAACGAGAAAATTGCAGTTTCTTGTATTATTGTCTTATTAATTTTAATGATTGAAAAAGATGTTATTATATCCGGTAAATTACATTTCATTTTAAAAAGTAAAAAAAAAATGATAAAATTATTAAAAATATTTTGCAACGTATAAGACCATCCAGGTAATAAGAAATACTTAAGGATTCAAATAAAGAAATTTCAACTATATTTTCATTTCTTTGAAAACACGTTTCCGTATAATAAGTTCACTTCCTTCACAGATGCTGGCAGGAAATATATCAACGGAAACAGTATATTTTCTCACGTCAAAATAACTTTGAACCTACCAGGATAAATGTTTTGTCTTGCCAACTTTAATTACCTTTAACAATGTTAATGTGTTTCAGGTAGAATATGCCGTTACATGTATTACTATGTTTCTCACCATCTGTAATCATTTCTCAGCAAAAATTTAATGCATATGTTTTGTTTTGTTCAACTGTAAACATAAATCCTTTAATAACAGCACTAAACAACAGAAAGAGACAGCTTCTAATGCATGAAATACAATTCCTATTTTTCTCAGATGTTTTTAAATATGGCCATAGGACTCAAACTTGAAAAATAAACAAAAATATAATATTATGGGAACGCCAATTCGGTAGCCAAATTCAAGCTATTTATCCTAATATCTGCTTTACAGAAAAGACCGTATATTATTTATCATATAGTAAACAAGCAGAGATTATACACGCCGCTCTTACAATTGAACAACTAATTACATGAGCAGCGTATTGCACAATATTGAACAGAATATAAATTTGTGTAAAAAAAAACAAGAATAAAGATCAACAAGGCAAAGGCAACGTTCACAGGACGCGGCCCCCGACACACCCAAGTAGGGCACCCAGAAGGCACCAAACAAAAACCTGGAGTGGACACAAGGGCGAAAGAAGTGGGACATTTACACGCCCGGCAAACTGTCGCTCCACTTCAAAATTGTGGTGTACGGTAAAATATGATAAACAAGATCAACAAGGAAAGGCGGCGTTCAATAAACGCAAGCCCCATATGATCCAGCATCAAGAACTAGTGGCAAGGAGCCCAGGCGGACCTTAGTCTATGAAGGCTGGACATGGAGGGGGACACCGACACTGAACGCCGAACAATCCCTTGAGGATGAAAATATAACAACATTGATTGCATGTACGGGGAGACTTTTTACAACCGCCACACGGCACAAACA